AGAGGAAGAGACATGTTGGAAAGATGGAACGGTAGACAGGTTAATCGAGTTGCACGCAGAGATTGCCGTAATTATATCAGTTTTAGTAAAATTAAAGATTGTGAACAAAATATGATACTGGTCATTAATAATGTGGTCATCAGCAAATAGTGATTAAACATAGGTAGGGGAAGCATGTATGTTAGCTGCGGATATCACATTCGAGTTCGTGTTTCTTTACAATGGGTCAGGCTTGTATTCCTATGTATTGTCCATATGCTTGCCACTATTTCGGGATCTGTCGGGGAAGCGGTATTCAAACACTGGTTTGGGGGGTGCGTATAGCAAATCTATCCTTTATGGTACCTTGATACGCGCGCATGCGTATCGGTGGCAGGGTTAGCAACAGAAAACATCGCTCTTTGCAAGATGATTGAAAATGAATAGTGTAATAATCATCGGGTAGAAGAGGATAAGTACTCGGTTGACCTTCTTCAAAGGCATCTATGTGGTCATGGAGGTCTTAGGATAGGCATGGCCAGTTAATGGTAGGATATAACAGGGGTCCAAGGAGTGAAAACGAGGACTCGGCTTCCCTTCAATCGTTGAATTCCATGTGGGCATGCAAGCCTTGAGGTGGGGGTGACCGATTAAGGAAAACATAACATTGGTCGGACGAATGAATAAGAGGAATCGGGTTAACGCCCCTCTTTAGCTACCATATTAATACTCAAGTCTTGAGGTTGGTATGGACAATTATGTAGCCCAACCTAACCACTGCACACAATTGCTCAGAGAAATCAATGCCGCACGTCAGGAGAACATAGCATAAATTCTCGGCTCTAACCATAAACTGCCAAACAGTAACGTCGATGGTCTGGGAAAGATGAGGCATGGAACCCATCAACTCCGGATGGCTGATGGCGCTACAGGTACAAGACACCCCACATTTCAGAAGGCCCTGCCTTCAATTAATCTTCCAGCATTTTCGCTCTGCCAGCACGACTCTGCCGCATCTCGTTTACTGCGGAAACTGCATTAAAGAAACTGTCGTCTGCGCAACCACAGCTTCCCGATTCTCTATTCCATCTATCCAGATGAACAACACGGCAACTGCTAGCATATTTGGCTCAGTATTTCCAGCGCTACTTAGACAAGAAACAGTTTCCTACAATGTGGAATATTAGGATAATAGCGCCAATTCACAAAGGCGAAAACAGAACTGAGCATTTAAAATACCGTTCAGTATCTCCTCTCCCTATACTGTCCAAACTCATAAAGAACCTCATTGATGATAGGCTGCTGGGCTATCCCGAACACTGTAACAGCTGTACTCCCGAGCATCACGGCTTCCGTCGACAGTGATCCTGCCAAAGGAGGTTTACTAATCACACCAAATAGTTCTACTGAGTCAGCTGACGATGGAGAAGCCGCTGATGTATTCTACCCGGGTTTCGTAGAGGCATTTGATAGTCTAGATCCTCGAGAACTCCTTTCCAAGCTTCAGTATTGCAGGATGTTTAATCCACTTTTAAGGTGGCGCGCCAACTTTCTCCTTCAACAGACATTAGTGTTCAGAGTTCGGAGCACATTATTTGACCCATACAAATCGAGTGTGGTGTGTTACAAAGCTCAGTTCTTGACCCACAAGATTTTTGGTATTAAGTAATAGGCTCATATAGGCCATTGCCTTGAATTTCTCACCTTTTGGCGACGCCATTAATTATTGGCACATGATTTTTGGGAATGCTGTCCAGCGTCCGCTTCAGAGGGACCTAGATACGGCACAGCAGCGATCAATCCGAACTTTGCAATTCGACTTAAGTAAATGCAAGGTATTATCTATACAACACCAATGCAACTATTACAAACCTGCTCGGAACCCAAGTACTCTATCGATCTTCCGCCGAACTTGATCTGGCAGTGTTGGTTCAGAATGACCTTGGTTGCTCCAGGCAATCAGGAAAGGCATCGAAAGCTGACGACCAACACGTCAGGCAGCTTCGATGAGTGTTCTGACAAATAGACCTCTTTGTTTTCCGACAGATGCTCGGTGCGTATGTTTGCTCTCATGTCGAGTATGCAATTCAAACCTAACATCCAATGCTGAAGGGGGAATTAACTGTGGTGGAGTAGTCTCCAAGTCAGACATCCAAATACGTCACTGGAATGCGCACTCTCCCAAATGAACAGAGAGTGAAACCGTTGCGGCACTCTGTGGACGGTATCGCAGATTAGGAGGCACCCTAATAACCGCCTACTGGATTACTCACGACCCACATAATGTACCTCTCCTTCATGCAACTCAGCAGTAAAATAAAACAAAGAGGTCATTACCGGGTCTTGCAGTAGCCGCTTTGTGTCTGGATTACGACATTTAATCTCGAACGCGAGTACAGTTTGTTTAAAGCAAACCTAAGCCACTTCGATCACTGGGACCGCACCCGAAGTGGAGAGTTTCGGAGCTGATTTTTCCCAACACTTCACTCTACGACCGACCGATTTCGGCCTGATCTGGCCTCGTCCTTGAAACTCGCTGAACAGTATAGCCGCCTGGAGCACTTCAAGAATATCTTTTCTATTCCCATGTGTTACTGGAGTAATGCTCTCCTTGCATCGGTCCTTTCTGTACCGACACAAACACTATTTACAAATAATGTTATAAATTCCTTACATCTAGGCTCGCTCAGATAGCCATCATACGTCCGGAAAAGCACATTCCATCGGACCCTGGTAGGGCTCGAACCTGCGAGTTGACTGTTGCACGTAAGTGATTGAGACCACTGAGCTACGGGGAACGTCAACGACCATCATGAATTAGTTGCTAGATGTGATATAGTGCCGCTCACTGTCCAATGAATTTCGCGTTACTGCCGTGTAGAGGACAGAGTAGAACCGTGCCTACGCCTCTGTAATCAGTACGCAGACAAAACTGCTTATAATGTCATAAGCTAATTGGCGGCTTAAGTTTGGTAAGTTTGGGGCTTAGTGAGAGGGGGTTACTCTGTCCTCTGCACGACAGTAACGTGCAAGTCAGTGGATAGTGAGCGGCGCTATATCACATCTAGCAACTAATTCACGATGGTCGTTGCAGTCCACGTAGCTCAGTGGTCTCAAGCACGGACTGGCAACAGTCAACTCGAGCGTTCAAGCCCTACCAGGGTCCGATGGAATGAGCATGGCTGACGATTCCCGAAAAGGTGAAATGCGCGTACAGTAGTTTTTCGGGCGTGTGATGGCTATTTGAGTGAATCTAGATGTAACGAATTTCTACCTATACCATTCATCTCCCCCTACGGCTCCTCTGTAATAGTTAAAAGACGGTTGAATGGCTGACACATCCAGTTACACATTGTTACTTCGCAATGTATTTCCATCCTACTACTGGAATAGACCGTGGATTTATTTACTACTAATTGTGAGTGCTCAGGAACTACGCGGATTGCAGGACTATGTGCCTAACAAACAATAGGTTATTATTTGCATACTTAAAGTACTAACTTTTTCATTTTTAGAGAACCCTCCCACCCAAACCACCCAACGGGACTTGTAAAGCAGGCCTACGTAACCTGCATAAATGCACTGTTTGCCATACTAATCGTATGGGCCAGATGAGTGTCGGAGAACTGGCGAAGCCCAGTTTGAGCACAGCCTGGCGTTGACTGAGCAATGAGATTTGTCCAGATAGAAGCAGACGTAATAGAGTAGTGAGCTACATATATGTACGGTATAAGTGCTTCTATGCTTCGTGAATAACACTGTGCCCTATCCTTGTACTTCACTTCAACTCTCGATGGTTTACTAGGCACTTAAGTCCCCTTGGTTGCAATTTAGGCCAAATACGAAAACCTACCGCTGTATAGATGTGAATTATTAGGATAAAACACTGACATTCTAATGCCAGACCACATTGTTTACAGTAGGAGGGAGTATATTAATCATCTCCGGCGGTGTTTTTCGCTAGCAACCAGCTAGAAATTTTGACGAAGACGCTGGCTGAAGAAAGGTGTACCAATTTTAATTAGGTAAACTGTACAATTCGAATTCAGTTGAATTAAATTTATTTTCTAGTCTGTGTACCTATACAAAATCATGAGGTATTTGAAAGTCAAACAATTTGCCTAAGGTGCTTATGTATAGCTGGGAAAAACGCTTTCCAGTCTTCTAGACCATACGTGTTTTGCTTAGTTACAGTTGCTTCGAGAGTGCGAACAATTCCCACCTCAATCCCAGCGAACCTCAGGCAATTAGCCGCTCACACTTTTCTACCCCATCTCCCTGTTGTTGCTAGTTTGAGGATAAGCAACCGCTTGAAGATCCATCCTCTCAACTGAACAGAAGTATAAGTTTCTAACCTCAGTTGGCCCAACTGTGTCTATTTCGGGTGTTTCTGTTACATTTTAAACAGAAGCAAACAGTTTTGTGTTCCGCCCGTGATTTTCTGCCCTAAGCGAAAGCAAATAAAAGCGTGGGACCAGAACATACATGTCTCTTAAATGTTTGGACGGTTTTCATCAAAACATCCCAGGTGTACAATAAATCTCACGTTTTAACCATTTAATCTCGCTCGTGTGACAGTAATTTTCCCAAAGCTCATTTTGTGTAAAAACAAATATTGGAGCATTAGTCAATGAAGGTACATGAAGCAAAATGGCTGAAAACCTGGAATTTTCCTTTTCCATTGTTCTATAATCTGTTGTTTAGAAATTCGATTGACGGCACACCATGTTTAGTAACCTGAACTAGTTACGTGTAGTCAAGCATTAAGAAGTATGGAATCAGCATTCTACAAGTAGAGCGATGCTCCAATCAACTCTTGATATCCCTTATCATAACGCAACATGAAATATTAAGTTGCACTTCGTGTCACCCAAAGTAGTTGAGATAACACTGTATCGTCTTCGTTACACTATAAAGGGACCTGTGCATAACAAACGTCACTGCGATGGTTATCCGGAAGAGAGATGATGAGAAACTCAACAAACATATCACGCAATGTGTAAAAAATCTGATATTCGTTTATGTGGAGTATTTCGAATGCTGACAAGGAATTGCCATCTGCGCTACTAACCATTGAGCTTACATCTCAGCAACATACTGATCTGGGCACTGGCCATCAAGACCCCGGTCTCAACTCTGGCTGGCCACCTCTGGCCGAAGAGTACTACCGAGAATTAATGCACTCGGAAGGTATGGGATGGGATGGGAGCTACACCGTTAACAGCTCAATTCTGAAGGCGGTCGCAGTGCTCAAAATCCCATGCTGAATTAATAGAATGTGGTACACTTGGAAACTACGTATCATAAATCAAATACATGACATCTAAACCGAAAGCAACAAACGGTTGTGTACGGAGCACGTTATCTGACTAGGTTTTGAGACAAAGGTTAGTCACCGGCCATTGAATGCATGTGTCAGACCCTTTCAGATCTTTGGTTAAAGCCATGCTTATTGATCGGACCTAAACAAAACTACTGAGTTAACGTCAAATAGTAAGACCTAAAATGGACTTTACTTGAATTCACGTTTTAAAGATGAATGTATAGCTACCTTTTTCGCCTCTGTTATTCAATAAGGGACAATTCTTGCTCGAACTTCATTATCTAATCTTAATACCTTATAACAAGTCCTGGAAACCATTTTAGGGCCATCCATTGGAATCGGTGAGCAACTTTCACCATTAAACATTACTTGAAATTGGAGCAAGCAGTTGAGCATTAAATTCTAACAGTAGGTAGTGTAAAATTTTTTAAATGTTTTCCTGTTATCTTTGCTTCCCACGCGTTTGCTTCATCGCAGCGTCATATTTCATGAAGTTCTTCCGTAATTACAGCAAAACAAGTTGTAGTAACAAGACAATCGGTCTTGGTTGGAAGTGTTTTGCCAGGCTGCAATCAGAATGGAGACGAGAAATGGCGTTTTATGAAATCACTTGCGTATACAGCAATTAACTTATCTTCATCCTATGAACGGCACCTTATTATATTACGTTTCCTTTGAATTACCGAGATAAGTATATTTGGGTTCTTAATGAACGATTTTTAGGTTTCCTATATAACAGGTACATATCGTTTTACGGCAGTAATTTCTAACTGCTGATTGTGCAAATGCAACACATTGCTTGTTAATTTTTATGCAGGTTTATGCCCAAACATCTTTCACACATGCGAAACTACTGTTTTTGCCGTTTTCCCTTACCACGACACAGCCAGCATTTGCTTCCACACACTAAATTGTGCTCTGTTAGTTATGCGTATATTGAACCAGTTCAAATGTAGAAATTGCATAAAATAATATAAAATTAGTGCTTACTGCAAGAAACAGGGCATTAAATACTTATACGAAAATACTTATTCTATCTTTGTTCGCTCAGTTTTATTTGAATTTTCGCGCTGTCAACTGGTGGTACACGGCTACTTTGTTGTGAATAATCTGTAAATCCATCAAACGCCATTTTTGCTCGTGTGCTCTATGCATTTCCGATCGCGTACTAGGTTCATTTGAAGCCATAGCTTCTGCTAGTTACCGCAACTTCACGTGCTCAAAGTGAAACACAATCGGAAATACGAAGAAAACAAAGCAGTAGGAATGCGACGAAAAGGAAGACAGGGTTACTCAGAAACGACGGATGAAATTTATTATCTGGAAAAGAATAAGCCCCCAGTCTAGATCCCCAGAAAACAAGAGCATTAATTACCACGAATAAGGTCTCTTAATGTGGATACTACACAGTTGAAACTCCTCGCCATGTTGGTATAATGACAAGCCGAACAATGCCGCTCTGGTACTTTTCTAATGTTTTTGTCATCTCGATTTGACAAGTCTGAGTATTATCGATCCAGTGGCAATCAAAAAATCCGTATACACCTTGTCAGCCGATCGGACAGAGCGCTACCCAATTAACGTAGGTGACTGGTATTCAACTAGCAATCCATGCAGCACTGAAGCGTGTGGTATTGGACCTCAACTGACACAATTCACTGGCGACCCTATCCAATAGGTGTAGCGTTTCTCAGATTTGTACCAGTCTGTCGATGAGTTCAGCCCATGATAGCCATTCCTCCTTTCCGTAATTCGAATCTGGACTTACAGGGAACACCATATTGTTGTACCACATACTCTTGTTCGATAGGCTGATGAATTACCACCCTTGCATAAGACGGAAGATTAGGAAGCTTCGAGCATGTAGTGTGAAAAAGCGTGAAGTTAAATGTGTCTCTAATGTCGGAAGGTTAAACCCGATGCGGCCAGTATTTAGCAAATGCCATTGAATCTGAACGTAAAATGTTCGATTTTCGCCCCATGACATCATTTCGTTCTACGAGGTTAGATCATTAGTGTCTTTAAATCAACTTACAAGAGGTATTCTAGTTGCAATAGGCATGGTAATGACAAAATCGGCAGCCATATTCCACGCAATGTACATGGATCCTGGAACGATCCTCGAAATTTTTTTCGCTTCCATTGGGCAACTCCCCAGAGATTCTCGCTACCAACATCGATCAATTCAAGTCAACGTCATGGTAAGCTTGATGTAACCAGACGGCTGCATTTTCAGCTTTTCCCATGTGGAAAATTTTATAAATGGATACAGAAAAGGGAATAGGGCGCATTGGTATCAATCGATTAATTGGGCCCACCTTCTTGAGCCCTGAGTGTAGCTTGATAAATAGTATCCTTATTTGTTTCCAGTTGACAGAGTATAGTTTTGCGAGTTCAATTCTTAATCGTTCGCAACTGGTCAAATGTTCATGGCTAGAAGTAACAGACTGTGAACGATACGTGATATCTGTGCTCCGCATTAAAAAGAACGGCCTTATGGATCTTGGAAATACTAAGAACAAAACATGCTGTCAACCTATTGCTATAAAACTTATCATATCCCCAGTGGATAAATTAACCATGATATCCAATGAAAAGGAAACGACCCATTTAAAGAACTTGCATGTTTTACCACAAGGATATTGAAGGAACTATAGTTAATGGGAAACGGAACAGAACATAGAATAGTTAAGGTAGCATTATGTGTTTTCCAGTGACTCTGATGGAGATTATAACTTGAACGGTGCATGTAGTTAATCAGCAAGGTCGATTCGAACGGGATGTCTTACAATGTGCATGACTCGCACTGCCGGTTGGAAAGTATATAGAACACCGGATAGCGCAATCGTTGAAGTCACAATCTGAAGCGCCTTGCCAAACTTACGCTATACTACTAATATGTGTGACATCTGCATTTTGATTCTGCAGTTTTCTGCTATGAGAGTTGGCTTATCGGCTCTTCTACCTTTAGTAAATCCACAATTCCACTGTTTGGAGTAACCAACCACTACGCCAGCCATCATTGTCATCATTCTTTCATTATACACCTTAGCTAGAGGTGGGAAGCACCTCAGCAACTGTGTCGAAATACATAGACGAAAAAGGCGGAAGGTGTAACAGGTGCAACCCAGTTGAGCTACAACTAACGGATGGGCATTGTTCCGGTAAGCTATCAGCCGGCTACTATGCAGCCAAAATACATTTACCATGCTGTTTGGAGTAATACACCACTAAGCCAACCACCGAGGTTTTCTCCACGAGAGGGACATATCCACAATTTCCCGCTCCCAAAATGGCACCCTGGATCCCCTTTGAGTGGTCTTGCTGCTATGGAAACGACGCCGGAAGAGTATCTGTTCATCTGCAGCTTATACGGTTTCGATGAATAAAATAGCCGAACTTAACTGTAGAAGATCATATTGTAGCATGCTTCTGGTTGTGGATTCGGAGCGCTTCTGTGTCCAGGGCGTACGTGGGTCGTATCAGACCGAGAGGCTGAAAGGCAAAATAGGTGCTTCGTTGGCGAATAGACAGTTACATCACAAACACAAAGCAAGATTCAGAGTTGGTTGGGAATAAGCATGTCTTCCACCTCGTGTCGAGCTTACGACGTTGGCACAGCTGCAAATCGAGGACAGAGCGTGTGCTGACTATATAAATGTCATAAAAACTCACAAGGGAGATGGCTGCTCCAACCACAACAAAGACAAAATGGGGAGACAAAAGGAAAAGGAAACGAAAACACCTTCTAGGCTACAATGGACGACACCTTACTTTTGACCTGCTGCAGCGACACGCTGATGCACTACACTTCGAATGCAAATGGAATTCGTGTGCAGCCACTCACTCATATAAGCCTGTGAGAAATGTAACAGCTTTTTGAATTTATAACACCGCGGTCGTACATAACTGACTGACTTTTAACCACTGTCCAGACGCTGCCCAAAAATATCATAATCCATTAATGACTGCATCAGCCCGCAAGTGCAAGGTTACCAATACGAATGCCATTCGCTCTGGCTATCAGTAGAGAGGTAAAGGCAATATCAATTACGAGCAGTTTGCATCTAAATGAACATCAGCCTCGCTAGGACAAGGAACTTGTTGCTCGCACTTTGGGTCCAGTTTCGCTCAAGATGCAATCACTCGGTAAGCCTTGTTCAAAAGCAACTGGAACTCACATTACTATAAACCAATAACATACTATATAAGTGCTCATGATATTGAAAATTTCTCCATTAGACTGCGAGACATCTAGTCCATTTGCAGCATGTGATGGTTGCTTCTTATAATCTAGTAGTTAACATCGGTATGCTTTTAGAGACAACAAGACCCCCATGTCCATTTTAGCCTTCCATTTTAATTCATCAATAGATCCTCTTTTACCTTTCTCTAGTAGGTTATTATTAAGTACTGTGTGTTACTTTTGGGTCCTTATCTATGCAAAACCAGCACTCAACTGCGATTTCGTCGAGGTTGTCAATTCAGCCGGAACAAACCGAGCCATACAAAAAGTTAAAGTGCAGCCATTGGAAAAGCCCAACACTTTCCGTCTCAACCCCAACCCATCTTGAAGTCAATAGCTGAAGTGGAATTTCGGGCAAGAGTAGATGCTTCACCCTGTTTTACAGGATCCATCTGTGAACACCCCCGTCGCCTTACTAAACTACTTGCGCCGAAAAGCTGGAAGCTCATAAGCAACCGTATGGATGCTCCAACCCCAGTTTTGACTCTTTTATCTTCGTCCCAGTCCCGTTACTCTATTTAAAAGGTCAATATTGCTCAACCTCAGGTTGCTTCATAAACACCATCAGTATGTTGCGGCCACTTTCATGCAAGATTGGGTGCTTACCTGCCAAATGTTGAATCATGTCTTCAGTGGCTTCTTTCCCTTTACTCAGCCCTCCGTCATCATGGTTCCAGATATACACCGCAAAGAAAAAC